TTTATCTAAAAATGTGGTATATAAATGTGTTGTTTCCTCTAAGAATGTACCCGATAAACAATATTCCCAAGCCATTATGAAGATACTATATGTAAAAGTTGTTTTGTAGTCGCTTCAGATAATCACTAAAATGCTGAGTCAGCATTATTTTAACTGACAATATCTCTGTTCCAGAGATATTTTAACTGACAATATCTCTGTTCCAGAGATATTGTCAGTTAAAATAATGCTGACTCAGCATTTTAGTGATTATCTGAAGCGACTACAAAACAACTTTTACATATAGTATCTTCATAATGGCTTGGGAAAATTTTCTAAAATTTGATACCCTAATAGATTTTTACTTGCGAAATCTAAGAAGAGCACCCTCAAGACCCGATTGTCTCAGGAAAATGCCTCGTTTATACAATTTTGTTCAAAATTATTAAAATTATTGTATATCATTATTTTACCTTCTACTGAAAAAAATTAGGTTCATCAATTGGTCTCTCTAATACTTGATCAAAATTAGCGTCTTTTTGGAAAAATTTAAATTTTGTAACAAAAGCAATTTAAAAGTTTTTTAAAACATTTATTTGAATAAAATATCAAATAGTATTATTTATTTACTAGTTTAGGACGTTTATAGTCATAGGCCAAAGAAGGGCCAAGGGGGACTCTGAATAACTCTGCCCCTCCCCTCAATCTCCCTTGATTTTTTTTTTTTTTAATGCATTAAATGATATAATAATAAATAATTATTAAAATTCAATTTAAAAACATAATTTTTTTTAATTTTAAGTTTGAGAAACAATTTTTTTTCATTATTTTTATTCAAATTGGTAAATGCTTACCTCTTATTATATCAAAAACAAGCAAATATTTTGTTTGTTATTTTTAAAGGTAGTACTTTACTTGTTTGTATTTTCTTAAAGAATGATTGTAAATTTTGTTGTTTTTGTATTTTTATTGGCAAGTAATATTATAAATAATAAACATATTTAATATGGAGAAATGGTTAAGTTTAAGGAACAATTTTTTTTCATTATTTACCTCATATTTCAAAGTAAGCACTCAAAACTAAGATTTTTTCATGATTTTAAAAATCATAAATTTTAAAACCAAAAATATTATGATTTTTAAAAATTTTAACAATCAATATCTTTATGGTATTATTAAGTAGATTAATACTAACATAGTGATAGACATAATGAGGTGGACAGTGGGATTTATTTAAACCCCCTCCTCAGCCTTCCATCGAAGAATTTGAAAAAAAAGAAAAAAGAAAGACAAATTCTAAATACAAAATGGGTAATAAAAATTACAACAAAATCATTTTAAATGTATTTAATTTTTTTTTGTAACCAACTGCTTATATTCTCTAAATCTAAATCAATTATGTTGTATGTACAATCTGATATTGTTGTGGGTGTAGAAATTAAGCATATAACTTCAGAATTGAATACCCAACACTCGTCATTTCTCATTGGCCAAAAAATGTTTTTACTTGGTCCATATGGATGTATGAATCTGATTTTTATATCAAGCTCACTTACATCTTCAGCAATAATTAACCCATCAAAATCCGTCATAAAAACATGCAATATAATCCAATTTTTTAATGTGTAATTAAATCTCTTTATTATGTTTGCTTTTTGGAATGATATCAAATACTTCAATACATGTATCAATACTTGTTTTTTATAACTTATAGTGTTTGAAGCAATTGGAATAAAATGATGATACATGCTTGTGCCAGGAACTGTTCTTCCACCTAAATAGCTTTTTTCTAATTGTGTTTGTGTTTGGTTGATTTTATCTTTAGAAAATAATTCAAAACAAATATCATTTATCTTGGCTTTACAAAAGGAGTACATTAAATTAACATCTAAAATCTCCCCAGCAGTCATTTGTTTTAAGCTTTCTTGACTACTCTTTTAACAGTCCCACCAATACCAACGCAGGGGGATTTACCATGACTGGCAGCAAAAAATCATTTCATCTCAGCATAAATCCTGTGTCATGATCAACATCTTCTGAAAGGTAACAAAAAGATTTGTGTTTGAGAACTTTTTTCTCTATAAAATAAAGTACAATTGTAAAAAGTGAACATTGACTTAAACTCCAACTTTGAACCTCATCCTGAACAACATATTGATAATTCATAGCAAAATTTCCTAAAATTAAGCATTCGTTTTGGTTAAGATTTCTTTCAAGTATCTACTTTGTGTTTTTGCAATATATGAATGAGTGGTAAGGTTTTCAATGCTGTCCCATAATAAATCATTAAATTCATCTAGTGGCAATGATTGTAATATTAGTGTTGTACAATTGGTACTCTGTCATTTCTTGAATGCTTATATCAGAATGTTATATCAGGTACATCTTCTTTGAGCTTATGCTCCATAAACTCCTGCACTAAAAAACCTTTTAATGCTTCAATACCAGGGCATTGGTTACATCGATGGAACACACATTCTGCATTTTGAAGCGAACAAATAATCAATACCATCAAATCTTTATAACTTTTATTCCACCTCAATGAGAAATTTTGTATTTTGATGATGTATGCATACTAAAATACATTATGAGTACCTGATGCATTAGTTATAATGCACCTTTTAGGTTTAAGAGTACAATACTTTGACTAACTTACTTTGACATTAGAATAATCTTTTTTAAATGCAACATGTAATTCATTAAGATTGAGTAGCAATAATCTTTTTTGAAAATGTTGGTTTTTCTTAACACTTTAAAAATCTTTTTATCATTATCATTTTTGAAATTCATATCATTTTTGAAAATTCATCACTTTGATAAAAGATGATCACTAAATTAACTATTTCTGGTGAAAGTGTTTTTTTTTCAGTTCCAGTTTTTTTTTCGGGCAATGATAGAATTTCATGCTCATTTTTAACTTTTCTTGCAGTTCGAACAAGATACTCAGACACTTCAAAGTAACTTGATATCTTTGTACCTGTCCATGATTTTGGTGCGAGTGTTAACATTTGCACTTTATGGCGATAAGAGTCTGTCTCTGAAATTTTTTTTTTAATTTCAGACACTAGAATGTCTAGATCATGGTCATTGTTAATGTTGTTGTTTGAAATGGGGCTTTTTATTTCTGTTGTTAAAGTAGTTTATTTAGTTATATGCTAATGAGACCATTTTTGCAACTCTGTCAATAGTGCTTTTAAACTTTTGTTTTGCTGCAGCCAATTTGCTGTGTTTTGAAAGACTTTTTAGTTTGATTGGTGAAATTCAAAGCAATTCTATAGTGGTATCTAACTTAATTTTTTTATCTGTTTCTACTGCTTTTTTCATAGATATGTTTTTTCCGGGAATTCACAGACTTCCGGAAATTCACTTAAAACTCCTTTAATTTTCCAGAAATTTCTGGATGTTTTTTTTTATTAATTTGTTTTAAAAAAATTAAAAATTTTTGCATAAAATTTTAAAAACAATAACTTTTGCATTTAAACAAATGTTTTCTACAGTTAAAATTTTCACAAGATCAATTTTCATAACAATTTTTTTCTTTTTTTTTTGCTTTTTAATTTATTCAAATTAACTTTTTCGAATAGTAGAAATTCCTTTTTGTAAAAAGTTAAATAATCTAAATTCTGTTTTAAAAGTTTACAAAAGTTTTTGTTTTCAGTTAATACGATCAATTTTTAATAAATTAATTTTCTGGGATTTTCATAAAGTCAAATACTCATCTTTATTTTTTGTAACATTTACTACAGAATTTCCAACCTGGGGTTACATAAACATTATTTTGTTGCAAAAATTTTGCCAAGTCTAGGGAAATCTTTATATCACCTAAGAAACAAATTTAGTTTTAAATTTTTAAAATAACTAAAAATTTAAAAATTCTTATGAATAATAAAATGTTTTTTTTTTTTAATTTTTACATCAATTCTGTTGTAGTTAATGTTAGATTACCTTTTATGAGAATTTTTATATAGCAGATTATTGTGAAAAATAAAGACACTATAGCAATTCAAAAATATGCAATTTAGTGTGAAAGTGTTATGAAAAGTTTTTATCTAAGAATCGTGTTATATTAAACTATTTAATTATTACCACTGAATTGTGTAATATATTTTGATTTAATCATAAAAATGGTTTTATAAAATTATACTATTTTAGGAGTTTGAATAAATGTTTTTTTTTTTTTTTAGGGAGGGGGGTCTGAATTCTGCATTACTAAAGTGAGTGGTTAAATTACATTTTTCAACAGAATTATTAGAATGTGTCAAATCAAAAGATCACCTTCTACCTGAACGTTGTTTTGCTTTTATCTTTCTATTGTTAGAGTCTACCATTTAAAACAGCATTCAAGGGTTAATATGAGTTTTAAAATAAGTGCCAACAGGAAAAAATTCCCTAGACCGATTTAAATGGCTTGTTGCAAATAATAAAAAGTAAACAGAAGAGAGTGGTTTAAAGAGTCAAAAATATTATGGTCATTGCTAAATTTTACAATGTAGTTAGGGAAATCTAAAGTGAATTGATAAATTTGAATTAGGGAAATCTAAAACAAAAATTGAAATTATACTAAAAATGTTATGTTAGAATGAAGATTACAAAAAAGTATTATCCATGGACAAATCTATTATGTGGGATTTATAATATTTGCACTTATAAAACTTTTATAAATTTTGTACTTTCTTACTGGGTGGCATTAGTGTTAGCATGTTATATGTTGTATTGTTGAGAATGTGTCATTATTTCTTTTTTATTTCATTTAATGAATGTTTATCCAATATTTTTTGTAGGGATAATATCACTTGTCTAATTGATAGTTGTGAGAGATTAAATAAAAGAGGGTATGGGTATATACATTTACATTCAAATCATAAGTATATACCTCACACATACTTAAACTGATGGTTTAGGTTGTCCCAATTTTTTTTGCACATTTTAAGGTTTAAAATGTTAACTGGAATTTATATTTTATATAAATACAGTTTTTTCAGTAAAAGAATAAACCAATATATAAATTTATTTTATTGTAGGAAACAAAGCTGGTACAGGTATTGGAAATGATATATTTACATCAACATTAGAAACATGTACCAATACAAATATAGAAGTTAATTATACTGAAAGTTTGATCGATGTTATAACTACATGGCCACATTTTTATTTTGAGAAATCTTTGCATGCTATTTCTACAAATGCAGTAAACATAAGCATTGAACGTGGCAAATGGAATATTCAGCCTGGCTCACTTTTCAAACCAGAAATATTTTTAAAAGATGAGCGAGAACAGTTAGTTGACGAAGAAGTAAATTTATTTTTTCAAGATACTAGATTCAGTGTTGACCTTCATCAAATAATTCAAAATAGTGCAGCTTCATTTAGAATATATGGCCCTCCTAATGAAAACACTAAATTATTTATTCAATCTGCTGCTTCTCTGTTGTCATTTGATTTTCAATTAAATAATTGTGGTTTTGGTTATCATTTTGATAACAATAGCTGTGTTTGTAATAATAATACTGAAATTCAATGTTTTGACGATGCTGTATATATACCAATTAAAAAGTGGGTATATAAAGAAAACATGTTTCCTTGTCCTAAAGGTTATTGCAAAGATTGCTCAAAGAAAGATAGTTATGTTGGAAATCTGTGCAAGCTAAATGCAACTAATCAATGTGCTTTAAATAGAAATCAGAGTTCTATTTTGTGTAGTAAATGCAATACAGGATATTCAGTTGTTTTTGGAAGTTCTGATTGTAAAAATTGCTCTGGAGAATCATATAAAGCTATTGAAATTCCTTTCACCGTTTTTTCAGTGGTTGCTGGGTGTAATTTTGTTTTGCTGTTACTCAATAAGAAAACATTTTCATGGTATCTAATTCCAACAATCTATTCCTATCAAATTTTGGATCAACTAATTTCTATCAAAACCTGTCCAGTATTACTGTTTTTTATAGAACTATTCAATTCAGTAGGCATGTACAGAAAGTTCAGCTTAGAACTTTGTTTTTATAACAACATGAATGATTTGGAAAAAAAAGGTTTAATGTTTATTGTTGCATTATGGTGGATAGTTTCATTATTTATTGTTTACAAGATATTCTCTTTTTTTTTCCAATTATTTACTAAAGAAAAATTTACTAAAGAGGCTTTTCACCGTTCATTAATTGTGGTTTTATTTATTGTTTATTCTATAACAGCAAAGCTAAGTTGTGATGTTCTTGTATCAATTACAATAAATAATGAAAAAAAAATTTTTATATTTGCTGAAGAACAGTACTTAAAAGAGACTCTACATATAATATTGTATGCAATTGCTGTATTTGTGATAATTGCTTTTTTGATTAGCTTTCCGTTAATAATTTTGTGTTCAAGTTTATATTGGAATTTATTCAACGATTTAGAAATTTCTTCAATAAGATGGGAATTTCTTCAAAAATTTGGGATTCGCTTCAAAAAAATAATGAAGTTTTTTAAGTTTTTGAAATGGTATCAATATGGACTCAAAACAACCAATGACACTGATTCTTATTTTCCTATATATTATATTCGTATAATCATATTTCCTATGTTCTATTTTTTAGCTAGAATTTTATTGCTAGTAGCTGATCAATTTAGTTCTTCAGAAATACAACCAACATGTTTGAGTGCTTCTTCCTTATGTGTACTTGTTTTTTTCTTGCTCCTAAAACCCCTTCTAAATAAACATCACAATGTCTTTCATGCTATTCAACTGACAAATCTATTTCTTGTTGCCTTATGGAATGACACATATCGGTGGATGTACTTAGAGAGTAAAGATGAGAAAAAATTTGCGATTTTTATTAACCTGCTTATATTTGTTCCAACTGGGATGGCTTTTTTTGTAGTAATCATAAATATACTGAAGTGTACTCGTTTTTTAGAAAAGTTACCCTGCTTAATGCACTTAGGTAAGAATTTTTATTCAGGTGTTTGTTAATTTAAACTTTTTATAGGAGTGTGTGTGAGAGAGAGAGGGAAGGGTGTCAACTAATATAATGAAATCATTAGTAAAATACAAAAGAAGCGTGTATACATCAGAGACCATGTATTCATGCTTGTTTTGTTACCGTTGGAGCAGTATATAAAAAAATGTCCAAAAACATTTATTATTTGTTGTTTTTTGTTTGCTTTTTTATCAAAAGTAGGTGGAAAAGTTTGCAATAATAAATAACTAGTTTTCTGTTTGTTTTAGTTTGTTCATTTTGTCATCGGGACAATAAAATGGATTAAATAGTAGTTACATGCCGTAGCTCTTTTAACGTTTAAAACAGGGGCGGATTTAACTTTCAGACATGGAATAAACTCAAAATATTAACATGTTTATACTTATGTCTAATAAGGATGCTTTGCAAAAAATTGCGAAGATTAGAGCCTTTGAACAGGCCCTAATCATTGCAATTTTTTGCTTCAATCATGTTTGAAGTTTGCTCCATGGCTGGAAATTATCTCAAAGACAAATTAAAAAAAAAAAGTTATTTGTCCTTAATTTTTATTTGGCTTACAATTATCAAATGAATATTCTGCCTAAAATTCACTTACCTGAGATAAAGTGCAAGTGCTAAAGTGTGTTTGCAGAAAAAATAATGGGAAAGTCTTTTAATCTTAGAATTAAAGCGAATTAAGATGCAATATTTTGACAGATGTCATAGACATTAAGAGTAAGCAATTAGAGAAAACAGTTAAATGGTGCAGAATAAACCTGGTTGGGCTGCAATCAATTCAGGAAAACTTCAACTAATCAATTATCTTAGAACAATTAACAAACGTTTTGATGATATCATTGAAACTAGAGAATAGAGAAGGAATATTGTTCAATTTCAACTTTGATAAGATCTTATGAGCCAAGTTGTGTATTAATGAAAATACCAAAAATCACCAATCATCAACTGCAGTAACAGTTTTATTTCAAAAACATGTTTGCTATAGGTCAGCAAGCTATTGGAAACATAAATATTAAAGTGCCATGAAGCTTATCAAAGAATATCTGATAAACCATCACTTGAAGAAATACCTAATTTGTTGGCTGTCACCAAAGTAACTAAAGTGTATAAAAAAAATGTTATAGTTACCCAGGTTTATGCCTTAATGGAGGGAAAAAAATAAAAAAGAAGACAAAGCCAATAAAGAAAGAGCTAATAAAGAAAAGAAATCAACAGAAGAAAAGTAATAAAGAAAAGTAATAAAGAAAATTAATAAAGAAAAGAAATCCATCAGCAAGTTAAGATCTTTTATAAATTTAAAAAAGAATGAAAAACTTTTTTTTTTAAGTTTTTTAATGGCAAGTAACTTTTTTCAACGTCTTTTTAGTTTAGAAAGGATTACATGTAATATTTTTTTCTCTATGACTTTATATTATATTCTTTATCCAAATTTTTCTGCACTTTCAGTACTTACAAAATTTGGGTTCTATGTTGCTTAATTTAAAACCTGACTTTCTGAGGTCATCCATATCCTCAGGTCCCTTTAACTGTACGCTATTGTTTTTTACAAAGCCAGCAAATAAATATTTAATGCAAATATTATAGGGATTTTTTATTTCGACTATCTATCAAGTCAAAATCAAAAATAACCATATTGAATAGGGAAAATAAACTATTCTCTCTTATATGCAAAGTTAAGAAAAAGTACTTTAACAATAGTACTTTGTTCTAGAATTACTTTGAAAGTTTATTAAAAGAAGCAGCGGAAAGATATCAGCAAAAAATAAGTCTTTTAGGTGATTTTATTTTATTTTTACATATTTTAAATCTCTGTTTAAACAAACTAATGGATTACATTGCTGTCTACATATTTGGTTATTTTCGGGTTAAGTAAATGTCCATACATGTTTTCAGCAGATTCTCGGAGTAAAGATCTAGTAATTAATAATAGGGTATAATAGATCTAGTAATTAATAATAAAGATCTAGTAATTAATAATAGGGTAACTTAGTTTTTTAGTATCAAAAATTAATGGAATTGAGTCTGGATGTTTTTCAAAATGTTCTCTTTTACCTAAAGAGTTGTATAGCTGAAGAGTTGTAAATATTGCGGTATAAAAAGTACTGATATTTGCATACTCGGTGTAGTTAAGGCACTTTAAAAATAATTATAGCGTCTGTATGATATTTTGTTGATTATGAGATATTTCCGTGAAATGGTCTGGTCTGTGAATTATGAAAAGACAAAAAAAATTAAAATAATAAGTTTTGCGGTATCATAAAATATAAATGTTTGTAGCAAAAAAACCCAGACCGTGGAATCTTTTTTTAAAAAAAAATCATCTTAAAATCACAATTGCTTGTTCAAATTTAAATAAGATTTTATATTAATACGTTTTTTAGGTGAAATGAACATTATAGTTTAACAATATGATCTGTTCTGATCGTTTATTGACAATTATTTATAATTATAAGCTCTTTCTTGGTCGGAATTCCAGTATTTTTTGTGAAAATTGATAGAAGTATTGTGTTTTGATAACTATATATAGTTAATATACGTCAGAACCAATTAGAACTAGAATCTGTAGTTTATATTCATGTTAATGTCGATGAGCGAAATTGATCTAAAGACTCCAAAATAGTGTTCTTTAGATACATTATTACGGGTTGTAAAAATATTTAAAAAATTATATATAAAAAAGAAAAGTTTCTTTAAATATTATAAAAACCTTAAGCAAAAATTTATAACATTTAAAGATCTTGTTTGGGCATAATATGCTGACAAAACCATGCTAATTCCAAATAAAAGTATTCAAATATTTTGTAAATCGCCTTAACTACACCAAGTATGTATTAACCAATACTAAATTAAGATGTAAAATAGAAGTAACTCACCAGTAATAAAATGTGCCAAGCAAACATAAACATAAAATTAGAATATTTAGGTTGCTTGCTACATTATTTGTAGCAAAATTTATCGCATTAAGCCAAAGTACTTTATCTCTAGAAAGCCTATAAAGCTTAAGTTCTTGACTTTATTTAAAAAGAATATTAAAGTTAATTAAAAATTTTTTTTTAATACGAAGTGATGTCACGTTGATTGGATTGATATGATAAGTTGTCAAGTTAGTGTGTTGAGTTTAATGACAGCATTTTTTTTTTACGCTGATTTTATCGGCACCGTATTTATGTATATTAATATTTTATGTCATGAGGCAGTATATATTTATGCACTTAATTAATATTTACAAACATTGTCTTATCTTAGATTTTCACCTACATCATGACAGAATATAGAGTATTAACAATCAACTTCAGACTTTTTTTTTTTCAATATATATAAACTTAAAGAAGCAAATTATTCAATTTTTTTTAAATCAATTTTTCATTGATACAAGTAGATTTTTATGGAAAGTAAGTTATTTATTGATACATGTAGATTCAAATGAAAAAACCCCAATAGTAACTTACTTAGCCTGTCCTAGTCCTAGTCAGTGCTCAGTTTCTCCACACTTTCCCTTAGGTGCTTCTGATCACGGTTTGATCTCTCTGAAACTATTATCTCATTCTTCTTCATCATCAGAATCCCCCTATCATCGTACCTCTTACAACTACTTTAAAGCTGACTGGGATTCTTTCCGTGATTTTCTTCGTGATGGCCCTTGGGTAGAAATCTTTCGCCTTCCTGCTGATAAATGTGCTTCTTACATAACTTCTTGGATTCAGGCTGGCATGGAATCTTTTATTCCCTTTTGACGATTCCAAGTCAAGTCTCACTCTTCTCCATGGTTTACCTCAAATTGTGTTGCTGCAATTTCCAATCGAAACCATTACTTCCATATCTATCAGCAAAACAATTCTCAAGAAAACAAATGTCTGTTTACTATTGCTAGAAATTTACATTGTAAAAACGTTTGGTCTATGGCTAAAGCCTGCTATTCTTAGGTCATAAAATCTCTGATATACCGTAAGGCCTTCTTCTTACGGTGTATCAGGTAATATCTTTAAGATTATTGAATCCTTTCCAATTGTAGTATAAAAGTTGTCCTCGATGGATAGAACTCTTCTTCATATCCGGTAACTTCAGGGGTTTCTCAAGGTTCTATCCTTGGCCCTATACTCTTTTTAATTTACATTAATGATCTTCCAGATACTCTCACATCTAAGATGGCATTGTTCGCTGATTATACTACCATTTATTCTTGTCTTGATAAAAAGTCAATACTCTCTGATTGCTTGGAGGAGGCATTTGAGCTCAAAAAGGATCTCACTTCTGCTACAGCATGAGACTCACAGTGGCTGGTGAACTTTAATTCAGATAAAACCCAATTTTTTTTAGCCAATCATTCTGTAACAATTTAGGTCTTCCTATATTTATGAATGGTGATGTACTCGACAAGTCATCTACCCGTCATCTAACCTCATCAACCTTTGTCACATCGTTGTAATGTTGCTTCTCTTTCTCTTTTCTACAAATGCTATAATGGGCACTGCTCTAAAGAGCTAGCGTCTCTTGTGTCATCTACTAAAAATCACTCTCATGTTACTCGTCATTCAATTAAGTCTCATCCTTTTTCTGTTACTAAGTGCTCCAAAAACTCTTATTCCTCTAGTTTTTTTACCCGAATATCAGTTCTTTGGAATTTGCTTCCTTCATCTTGCTTTCCTGATTCATATAATTTGCAATCTTTTAAGTTGTCTGTTAATCGTTATCTTACTCTATAGACTCCATCTTTTCTCATCCAGTAACTTCCAACTCTAATAGTGGTTGCTTGCAGTCTTGTTGGAAGTGAAGATACAAAATCAAAGACTTTTTATTTAATTTTTTTTAATACAAAAAAAAAAAAAAAAATTAAATAAAAAGTAAATTCGTTATTGATACAAACAGACTTACATGGAAAATAAATTATTTATAGGTACAAGTAGATTCGCATAGCTAAATTTTTTTTTGATGCAAGCAAATTCACATGAAATGTTAATTATTTATTGATAGAAGTAGATTAAATTTTTTTTTTTAAACATCCTTTTTTCCAACAAGGCTGCAACTAACCACTAATTAGTGTTGGAAGTTACTGGAAGAGAAAAGATAAAGATTGTAGAGCAAGATAGCGATTGACAGACGACTTAAAAAATTGCAAATTATATGAATCAGGAAAGCAAGATGAAGGAAGCGAATTCCAAAGAACTGATGTTCGAGGAAAAAAACCAGACAAATAAGAGTTTTTTGAACACTTAGGTACAGTAACAGAAAAAGAATGAGACTTAATTAAATGACGAGTAACACAAGAATGAATTTTAGTAGATGGCACAAGAGACGCTAGCTCTTTAGATCAGTGCCCATTATAGTAATTGTAGAAAACAGAAAGAGAAGCAACATTACAACGATGTGACAAAGATTGGCTGCAAGAGCAAGTCCAACTATGTTTACAATGCGTTTTTGCACCTTGTCTAAAAGAGAAAGGGTATCATTTGAAGATCCGATTAGATATTGCAACAGTATTCCATACAAGGCCAGATTTAAGATTTATAGAGATAGAGAATAGAATCCAGAGTAAGAAAGTGTTGAGCTCGATAAAGAGATGCAACTTTAGCAGATGCTAATTTTGCAACAGATTTGATATAAGGTTTCCAAGAAAAATCAGAAGTAAGAGTTAATCCTAGAAGATGAAGGGTAGATAACTCATCAAGTACATTACCGTTCATAAATATAGGAAGGTCTAAATTATTGCGATAACGATTGGCCGAAAAAAATAGAGTTTTATCTGAATTAAAGTTCACCAGCCACTGTGAGCCCCATGCTGTAGCAAAAGTGAGATCTTTTTCAAGCTCAAATGCCCCCTGCAAGCAATCAGAGGGAGTTGGCTTCATATCGTGACAAGAATAAATGGTAGTATCATCAGTGAACAATGCCACCTTAGATGTGAGAATATCTGGAAGATCGTTAATGTAAATTAAAAAGAGTATAAGGCCAAGGATTGAACCTTGAGGAACCCCTGAGGTTACAGAATAAGAAGAGTGCTGTCCATCAAGGACAATTTTTATACTACGATTGGAAAGGAAGGATTCAATAATCTTAAAGATGTTTCCAGATACACCGTAAGAAGAAAGCTTATGGAGAAGACCAGCATGCTAAACTTTATTAAACGCTTTAGAAATGTCAAGAGCAACGGCCTTAACCTCTCCACCTTTATTCTAATGCACGATAAAACCTATCAGTTATTACTGTTAGCAAATCAGCCGTAGAACGAGAAGATCGAAATCCATATTGATGATCAGAAAGAAAGTTATTAGATTCAAGATGAGAGATTAAGTGTTTGTTAATTAAAGATTCAAAAACCTTGCTTATGATAAGAAGAAGACTAATGGGACGGTAGTTAGACGAATCAGATCGCTCTCCAGAATTTTTAAAAATAAGGATAACAGATGGTACTTTCCAGCAGGCTGGAAAACAAGACTTTAATAAGCACTTGTTAAATTGTTTTGAAAGGATAGACGACAGCTCCGGAGAACACTTCTGCAAGATTATAACAGGTATCTTGTTCGGGCCACAAGCTGTAGAAGAGTCTAAGCAGGAAATCACTTTAGATACAGAAGCTGGAGTGATACGAATGTCGAGCAATGGAGCAACCTGTTTGACGGCTATATCAGGTAGAAGAACTAGTGGAATCAAGAGATGATATTAATGAAAAGTTTTTAGCAAACAATTCAGCTTTGTCTTTAGGTGAGGTGACAAAGTCTGAACCATACAATTGAGGTGGAATTACAGACTTAAAAATAAAATTAATAAAAATAAATGAAATTAAAAATAAATTTCTAAGTAGGGGGAAATTTATTTATATATATATATATATATATATATATATATATATATATATATATATATATATATATATATATATATATATATATATATATATATATATATATATATATATATATATATATATATTTATACATTTTAGTTAAAGAAGAAATTCCTATACCTGATCGAGTTGAAAATAAATGTAACGATTCTGATCTTAGGGAGCCATTAATAGAGGAAAACACTGAGGATTGAAGTAACTATTGGAATTTTTTTTTAATGACAATCTTTTTGTATATTATTATTTATCGTATTTTTGTATAAATTTTTCGTATTTTTGTGCTGATTTGTCTTTTAAAAAATTAGATATTTTAAATTTTATAAAATTTCACATCCTTCAAACAAATAAGGTTACCTTTGAGGAACAAGTAAGGTTATCTTCGAGGAAAGCTGTTTTTTATTTGTTAACCAATCAAAGTATTTTCATGATAAAAATAATTTTCTATTATTTTTATCATGAAAATACTAAAATGGTGATTATGACAATACTGTTAAAACTGCAACTGCAACTTCAATTTTAATAAATTATTAACATTTTTTTCTACTGTTCTGTTGCATCATTTGATTTTAGTGTTTTCTTGAAATTTAACAAAATGGCATAGAAGAAGTAACTTCTTTTTATTAATGTCTTTGAAGAAGAAAAAGTGTTTCTCATTTAATTAGTGTTTAGGTATCTGTGTTTATCTCATTTAATTAGTATTTAGGTATTTCAGTGTTTATCTCATTTAATTAGTGTTTAGGTATCTCAGTGTTTATCTCATTTAATTAGTGTTTAGTTATCACAATGTTTATCTCATTTAATTAGTGTTTAGGTATCTCAGCTTTGCAGAATAGATAAGGGTGTTTAGAAGTTGTATTTTTGCAAAATTGTTACTTTTCATATCATAATCTTACCAACAATAATTTTTTATGATACTATAATCGATTCACCATACTCACTTGATTTGATATATCCTAAATTGTGTACTATTGTGTACTATTGTGTTCTTTTCTTCAGTAATATATAAAAGGTTGTATAAAAACTTAGTGCTCACAAAGTGGTACAGTTTGTATATCGTTTTTTTTTATTTATACTGGCGTAGATAGTTTCACCCATGAAATTCAGGCTGGCATTTATTAATATTATTCAAGATCATAAACGTTTATTTAAGATCAGAAAGTTTGTTATTTAATTTAAGATCAGAAAGTTTATAATTTAAGATCGGAAAGTTTTGTCTTAGTATAGTCAAGTTATGATAAACACTTGTTTATGTGGAGAAAAAATATTAATCAGAAAAAAAATTAATTAAGAAACGCAGAACTTTTTTCAAATTTAAAACAAGTTAAGGTTTTTTATTAATGCAATTAAAGATGAAAAACACTATATATAGCGTTGACTATATATAGTCAAGGCCGGCACGAAGAGGTTTTCAAAGGAATGGCCCATTCAAAGGATATTTGCACCATTATTTTGCAAACTGGGACCATTTTGTACCATTAGTCGGCTAATAGGAATAGTTTTTATCGGAATATTTGAGGACCTCTTTTTTTTAGAGGTTAAAATAACTGGAAGTAAACTATATCTACTAATTTATTTAAAAGAATTTTTTAATTGTCGGTTACAAGCATACTCCCGAAACGACTTGAAATGGCTTTAATATTTGCGGCTCCATGAGCTTCCATCTGTTTTATACTTCCATAATCTAATTCGTTTAAAAACCAGCAAATAGCGTTATCCTCTATGATAATGAATAACTAAAAAGAATTTGAAGAAGCGTTCTTCTTTATCAAAAAAAAAAGCGAGAGGATTTGATGAAATATCTAGTGATATAGTTATCTTCAACAAAATCAGCCTAAGCAGGCCTCTTATCCATATACTAAAGCTCTCTATAAATTTTGGGATTTTTTCCCGATGAACTTAAATTAACAAAAGTAATACCTTTATCGTCCCTTAGCTTACAACACCGCTGAAGTCGAAAATTAGCGGTTTTTACATTTAATGCTTATCGATGGAGCTGCTTATTGGGCATCTAGAGTAAATTGTCATAATAAGTATAAATTATTATTTCTTAACCGCTAACTTGGATATTTATTAAGTGAAAACAGAAAAATTGCACCGATTTTTTAAAATAGATTGTTTTTTCGCCTCCTGTAAAGTTGGTAAAAATGGCTTATGCGGTGTTGTTAGCTAAGGGACGATATTTAAATGTAATGAACATTCAGATAAAACCTATATCAATACTTTAAGACCTATATCAAACTATAGACCTATATCAATACTTTCTTTATTTTCAAAACTATTTGAACGTGTAATTTGTAATAGAATCTATATTCACTTGAATCTATATTCACTTTTGGGTAAAACAAATTTTTTTTTTTTTTTTTTCTTTTTCTAAATTTTTACAACCACATATTAATTACAAAATCCTTTTTACATTGCGATAACATAAACAAAATAAACTTCCAATACAAAAAAATTAATATTTTACAAAATACCGTTATACATAGAAAGCAATAATTAAATATGCTATGACTTGATAAAGGTTTTGACTGTTGTAGGGAACTCGTAGAAGACTGAGTCTAGTCTTATCATCGAGAACCTTGAGGTGTTGCGTAAAGTGCACATATAAACATTACCCAGTAAGCACAAGACGCATTTTAGACACTTACAGACGTCTAAAACTAGTCTAGGTAAAGACGCACTTTTATAGACGTTTTGAAGACATTTTCTAGACGTCTTTAATAAATGCGCTTTTAAAATGACGTTTAAAATGCGTCTTTTTAAAGTTTAAAAAGACGCTTAAAAGACGCATAATAAATAGTCTAAAAGACGCATTAAAAGACGTCTAGAACAAGGCTAAAAGACGTCTTTTCTGTGACCTGTTTATAAATATGTCATTATGACTTATTTTTGACGGCTTTGTCATTACGCGTTAAGAAGATGTCGTATATTCAAAGTAAAAACATAGTTTTTATTATTTTCAATAATTTGTTCAAGTTTTAAGTGTAAATTACTTTAAATTAAATTACTTTTTTACACAATTGCTAAAATTGTTGTCACAGGAATCACTAAAATAATTGCTATAATATTAATATATCTTTTTTTTATTAATAATTATTTTGCTTTTTTAATAGATAGTTGACTGATCATGATAATAAGTGAAAATGGCAAGAATAATATATAAGTTAAATATCAGTATTTTTAGTTTTTATACACCCACAAGCCATATAATAAGTCAAGTATGCGGTCAAAAATTAGCTATCAATGTTTATGTTAAATTTTATTATAACTAAAAATATGTTATAAATGTTTTAAACACTGTTTTGATATATATACTTGTTATTGTTTTTTATTATTTTCATCTTTGATGCATCAACCGTTGGTGGTGATTACAGCAATATTATTTTGACTGCTGGTTCATATGTATATTTGGTATAAACGAAATTAAAACAATTTATGATGTTATAAATACAATGAATATATACCACATACTACGCAAAAGTGTTACGTCATGTACTTAAATTTAACTTGAAAAAAACGTCTAAAATACGTCTAAAACGCGTTTTTATAAAGACGTCTTCATTTAGACGTCTTTTAGCCTTATGATCTAGACGTCTACAAGTGCGCCTTTTAGACCTCCTTAAAGACATCTTTAAAACGTCTTTTAAACGTCTTTGTGCTTACTGGGTATGATTCTCACAAAACAAATATTTTAAATGTCATTGAGGTAGACTTTTCTTTCCTTTTTTTATACTATGTATGGTGTTAGTGTTGTGGTTTATAATAATAATATTATCTTTATTTTTTAATTAAAAAAAAAAAATTCATTTTCATTTGTAATTGATTGCTGATTATTTGAATGTGAGCGTAAATATTAGTTTATCATTGGAACTAAAACATTTCTAAGTAATTATCTGTATTGAGAACATGATTTTTTAGTTTTGACTTTAAAGAAGTTATATTGTCAGCAAGAGAAATTGAGGTATAATTCGGGGCGCGGTAAGAAATAGAGAATTGAGAGTTTTTTTGTCTTTTCCGGTGTACAATAAAGTTACCAGTTGATCTCGTGTTAAATTTGTTGAGATTAGATTGAAAGAAATTTTATGTGAATCGGTTTGGAACTAATCCTAATTTATATTTTAGCATGAACAATATATTAGCATAGATATTAATTTGGTAAATGTTTAGCACTTTCATTTCATTTAATACCCAGCAAGGAAAAATACGTATATTATACATATAAAATACGTCTTTGTCCTACTCTTCGATACGTATATTCTAATTCTTAAATGCAAATCTATAATACGTATTAATTAGATGATTACAATGCGTTGGTAATAGACGTATAATATACGTATTTAAAATACGTCTCAGATATCTATAATTTAAGTATTAAATGCAAATCTATAATTCGTATTAATTAGATAAATAAAATGCGTTGATAATAGACGTATATAAGACGTATTTAAAATTATTAGGTTTCTATAATTTCTGTATTAAATGCAAATCTGTTTATTTATAGATGTCAAATCTGTAATACATGTTCGCAAAATGAAGAGTAGATTGTTGTATTATCTACCGTTGTATAATTATTGCGGAAATAGATTAATTTCTATCTTCGCAGCCATTGTTTTACCACAAAAATTGTGTTGTACAACCGACGTTAATTTGTGCAACTATGCTAGACAACGTTTCCATTATAAAACAAAGTTGTTACAGAACTGTTGTACATCATTTCTACAACTATTGGAAACCAAGCTTAAAAGAACATTAAAACATTTTGAATTGTATAATATTATTGTTTATTTATTTAAAAAAAGTAACTATATACTATAACATAAACTATATACATATAATATAATATAAATGTTAGATATCAATGGAATGGTTCAATCTTCCTGGTGCATTCTTTAGTTTATTCCCGACAACTCTAAATAATTCTTTTTCACTAACGGTATACCTGTCTTGTAACGCTTCTAAAATAAGTTAAGCAAAAATATTTAAAATTAAAAATATCGTCAGCTTAATATATATATAGTTGAATACGACACTTAAGTGTCGCATTTATCATTTTTGAAAAAAATGACTATGTACAATATAAATTGTATCTCACCAAACATAACGTCCTTTAACTTAAAGTTTTCAAACGATATTTTGTTTTCTCTGCCTTTACGTTTACTCCCTTTAATGTTCATATTCGCCATCAGGTTTACGGAAAATAATCTAAAATCGAAAAAATATTAAAGGTAAGATCTGAAGGTGAGATCTGAATGTTGTTAAATTCATTCTTGTTTACCGCTTATTTTGACTGTTATTGTATAAAAAAATGTAATTTAAAAAAAAGCTGCAACAAATTGTTTTAAAACAAATCAATCGTTATTGTTTCGCAGTGGAAGCTATTAAAGTTCCACCACTTATATGGAACCATCAGGCCGTAATAGTCTTAAGAGAAGCAAGAAATATTTTATATAAGTGCAAGGAAGTGCAAGATAAATTATAATATTTGGACAGATGTCCAGAATTAAGAGTTGTTGTTTAAAAGAAGGGTACTATTCAGTAATTAAGTTTGAGTTAAGTAAGTGGTGGTCATGTTAGATTTAAGTACGTGTTGTTGCAGTGTTCTGTAAGTTATTGTGTTTTGTGTTTGTATTGTTCTAAACGTTAAAGTTTTATGTGTCATTTAGTGTTTTTATTGCTTTGAATCTGTGTGTTCGTAAATAATGGTTCTTAGTCTCGCTCAGTCCAGTCTTATCATGTTCTCTTTACATATCAGGTTCGCAACTAGAATAAGTGAGTATAGTCACTAGTGGAACATATTTAGACGTAAATGCCTTAGACGCATGCAAACGTGCAAAAATACCTTAAAAGCATGCAACCTTATAATAAAAATATTCGTTTTAAATTTAGTTTATATACTCAAAGATCGACAAATACAATAATTCTGTTTATTTACATGCAACCCGAATACCTTCAGCCACAGATAAAAACAAAAGAATATCTAAGTAAACCTATCTGAATTTATCAGATAAATATTCAAAAACATTTAACAAAAATCAAAACAATTATTAACAATTGCTATCGTTGTGGTAAGCATAATGTGATACACAATTAACCTAATATAACACAATTACTCAATTCTTTAGATAAAAAGTACAACTTTAAAGCAGAAGTATTACAACAAACAACAAAAACAAACATTTAATATAAAGTGGAAACGCGCGCATGATTGTTTAAAGAAAGAAAATAAAAATACATCAGCGTTAAAATAAAATTCAAAATTATGTAGTATAATACCAGATTCTCGTCAGGAAGTGGACATTGTATTGATCCTTATAAAGATATTACTCTGGTATTTGACGTTTCGAATGTTTTAATGCTCATTTCTAGAAACTCCCGTCGGGGTAACATCCTCAAAACAAGCAAATAAAACCCACCTCTACGTCTGTGTCAAAGCCTTCTTATGTTGCAACATTTGAGAGGACATACTACTGCTCAGCCAAATACCCTAACTTGATCCATTTTAAACAAATTACGCTGATATACTTTTTAGAAAATTATTAAAACACGTTGCGCAAGAAGTAACATTAGAATACAAAAAACTTATAAGTTAAATTATTCCTAAATACTCAAGTACAAATTGAAGGCAAACAAACACACAACAAAATAAAAAACAATTAAGATAAAAGACTTACCATAATTTGATATTGAATAAGAATAAGTCTTGAAGGATATTTTGCGCAATGCCAATGAGCAGTTTATAGAGCGCATGTAAATTGTGATATTATACACAGATGTTGTATGACGTAAATTTGCGGTTAATCAAAATATCCCTCAAGCGAAGCCTCAGTAAATAATAACGCTATTGGTCAAAAAATATCTTAATTGATTGGAGGATGAAAGTGTAAGGTGATTGGTTAATAATGTTGTGTTTAGAGAACATAAAAAATATATAAAATATAAAAAAGAGAGAACATTCAAAAGTGTCCTAAATTATTAAGATAATAAATTTTAACTCAATCAGTTAGGGAAAAGAGTATCGCGGGATCAAAGACATACAATGCAATAAAAGCTCCAATTTGTGTCTTAGATCCACAATGCAAGACAAAATATATTTAAGCGAGTTTTTAAGGTAAATAAATCTAATTGAAAAAGGTGCAATTTTTGTCTTAGATCCACAATGCAAGACAAAATATATTAAAGCGAGTTTTTAAGGTCAATAAATCTAAGTGAAAAAACTGCAAGGTTTCAATTTAAATTTAAATAAACTTGTCTTTAGCGGCTTAAACTAACATTTATTTGTCAAATTGATATTAGCAACCGACAACAAACGGAAAAATGGTAAACTCATACAAAAGCCCTGCCTCACCGCGTACACTTGTCCAGGTATGCAAGGTGACAACAACAAAAGCGATTCCCCGCATCAGCCTACGCTGTCGGATTCGTGGTACATCGCTAAGATTAACCAGTGCATCCTCAAGACGCAAACCTATCGGAACAAAGCCCCATTGCTGACCCCCTCATAACGGAACACGATCACACGACACAAAACGCAATACATTTTATCATTACCCACTGCGCATATAGATCCTTGCTCAGGTATGCAGAGCGACAACAACGAAAGCGATCCCCCGCATCAGTCTACGCTGTTGGATTCGTGGTACATCGCTAAGACTAACCAGTGCATCCTCAAGACGCAAACCTATCGGAACAAAGCCCCATTGCCGACCCCCCCATAACGGAACACGATCACACGAGCAGCGACACAAAACGCAATACATTTTATTATGGTCCATAATTATGGTCCATAATTATGGACCATAATTATGGACCATAACCATATTATGGTCCATAATTATGGACCATAATATGGTTAACTAAATCAAAATTACAATAGTAATTTTATTTTAAAATGATATTAAAAAAGTTAACTGGAGAATAGAGTAACAACCAAGAACGTAAAGATGTACAAAAAGCTGTCTATAAATCGAGTCAATAAATAAGAAGCAATAGCTGAATAACAACATTTATTTTTTACAATTAGTATTTATCTTTATTCAAATATATTCGACTAAAGGTCGTCTTCAAAAGACGTTCAGAATACACATTTTTTTCGCATGCCTTTGTGGTCTCAAATAAAAACTTCAAAAAAAAGTATTTAAAACATTTTTTAATGATGACTTTAGTCTTTTAAAGACGTTTTAAACACGTATTATATTTGTTTGCGAAAGATATCTTTCATATATAGAAATAATACGTATTTAATACGTCTCTTAAAGATAAGTTTTATATTCAGCTAAAACTCATCTTGAAAATTCGTTTTTTATGCGTATTTTTATCGTCTACTCTAGAAAAGATGTGAATAATATTAAAATAATACGTATTGAATACGTCTTGTCCTTGCTGGGTAGGGGTTTAGCGTGGGTCAGTTTGTTCTTATGATGTATTATTTTGGAGGCACGTTTTTGTCGTCGATAAAGGGACATTAACTTTGTCTTGTGTGTGCTTCCCCAAGCAATGTTGGCATATGTGAGATTGCTATGTATAAAGGAAAAATAAAGACGTTTTAGGTTTTTTTGCGATAAAAATGGTCTAGCTTTATAAAGTATACCAATACTTTTAGATATTTTAGTGTTGATGGCATTTATATGGGCTGTCCATGAAACATTTTCGTCAATAATCACACCAAGAAATTTAATTGTTTGGGTTCTTTCAATTTTTTTGTGCTCGATACTTAGTGAGGGTAGAATTGATGGTAGTTTATTTTTCTGTTTTTTCGAGTGAAATAAAATATATTTAGTTTTTTGGGCGTTTAATGATAACATGTTAGCACTGAACCATGTTTTAAGTTTTTGAAGCTCAATGTTGACTTTATCAAAAAGGTCATTGATAGAGGTAGATAAGTAAAACAGATTAGTATCATCTGCAAACATTATACAATCGAGATTTGTAGAGACTTTAGGGAGATCGTTAATATAGATATGATATAATAAAGGTGCAAGAACAGATCCCTGGGCGACACCACATTTTATTTTTAATAACTTTGTATTAGTGATACCGTCTATTATAACACATTGTTGTCTGTTATTTAAATAATTAGTGAACCATTTAATAGTTTGGTTTTTTATACCGTACTTTCTCATTTTTTCGAGCAGAATTTTATGGTTGAAATTGTTTTACCCAAACCAATTGGGATTTGAAAAAAGCATGCAATCGTTGAATTAGTTGATTAAATAACTAATGGTTTTAAATAAATACTAATGGTTTTAAATAAAACAAATTTTCTTTAGGAGTTTTTATTGACTTTATATAGCATTTGATACAGTTGATCACTGCATCCTATTAGATAAACTAAAGCATTATGGTATAATTCAATTGGATTAAAAGTTATCTTACCAATAGAAAACAATATGTATGTAAAGGTGAGTTTCCACTTATCCGTTTTTTCACGGGAACGGGAAAGGAAAGGGAAAAATAATCACGTGGGCATGCGTATTATAAGTTTTAGTATGTCCGAAGCATACTCACGCTTTAAGTTACAGTCGATTTTTTGACAAATTTAGTTGGCTAGTCGGGTTTTTCTTTTTTTTTGTCGGATCCTCTGTAATTCTATGACCTATGTTTTTCAGCTTCCGTATTTATATCAGTATTATATCAGCTTCCGTATTATATCATTCCGTAATTGATAACATATTAACAACCGATATCTTTAACAATTCGCTTGAAATAAGTATAATATAAAATGACGTTTCTGATCATTTCCCTATTTTCTTTTCTTTAAATCTTGTTACCGAAATAATACAACAACAAAAACAAGTTTCATCAAACGCTTTTTCAATGAATCAAATATCGAATCATTTAACGATCAACTATCCCTACTTAACTGGAAAATATAAACTCTAAATTAGAAGCAAACGTAGTCTATAAGCCATTCTGCGAAACATTTAATGATATTTATGACGCAAATTTCCCAAAAATCAAAATAATTAAATCAAATAAAAGCCTTAAATCACCGTGGATCAATAAAGACCTCAGAAAGTCCTCAAAAATTAAGCGAAAACTTTACATAAAATACTTAAAAACCAAAACAATTAAAAACAAAACATACAAAAATTATACTAAACAATTTAAAAATAATAAAAAAAAAAATGCAAAAAAAAAAAATTTCAATTTGCTAGAGAAACTCAATTCAAAACGCACTTGGCAAATTATAAGTGAAATCACGGGCAAACAAAACTTAAAATCGTGTTCTCTACCTAAAGCTATTAAAATTAATGATAAAATTATAGATGATCATAAAGAAATAGCAAATGAACTAAATAAATTCTTTGTTTCTGTTGGACCTAATCTTTCAAAAAACATTCCAAATATGATAAATCCAATCAATAATTATGAATTTCCTCTAACCTCTGCTCTAAGTGCCTTTGAACAATCATTTTCAGAATTTGAAAATGCTTTCAAAATGCTTAAGTCCAATAAAGCAATTGGTCCAGATGATTTAAATAGAAACATTGTTATTAAGTCATACGATAATATAAAGAATACTCTATTTAAAGTTCTTAATTGTTCAATAAGTTAAGAAATTTTTCCGGCCCAAATGAAGGTTGCAAAAGTGACCCCTATATATAAAGGTGGTGAACTAACAAATGTTGGGAATTATCATCCAATTTCAGTTTTGTCAGTTTTTTCCAAAATTCTTGAAAGAATTGTATTTGATCGAATTTTTAATCATCTCTCTGAAATTAATATACTTTACAACAATCAGGTTTCAAAAAAAAAAATAACAAAACACGCAGTACTTTAAATCACAAGAATTATTACTGACTCCTTCGAAAAATCAAAATTTACTTTTGGTATTTTTATAGACCTATCTAAAGCCTTTGATACTATTGATCACGCCATTCTCATAAATAAATTAGAACATTAAGGTATCACTGGTAAAGTCTGTTATTAAAAAGTTACTTAAATAATCGTAAACAATTCATTCATATTGATACACTCTCAACAACTACTGCTTTAGATATATCCTGTGGAGTCCCTCAGGGTTCTATACTTAGACCACTGTTTTTTCTAATTTATATTAATGACGTCTATAAAACTTCTAATTTAATGACAATAATGTATGCTGACGATACTAATCTTTTCATATCCCGAAATAACATCAATAATTTATTTAATGACATGAATGTAGAACTAAAGAAAATATCTGACTGGTTTAAATCAAATAAGCTTTCACTTAATATTGAAAAAACTAAGTGAATTCTTTTTCATTCAGCTTATAAAAAGCATATACTACTAAGTGAAATACCGCCGCTTTTCATTGATAAAATTAATATAAAAAGAGTAACTTATACTAAATTTTTAGGTATTATTGTGGATGAAAATCTTTCATGGAAAAACCACATTGGAAATCTAAATAATAAAATTGCAAAAAGTATTGGGATTTTATATAAAACAAGAAGTATTTTAAATAAACATACTTTAATTCAACTATATTACTCATTAATTCACTGCCATACACGATTAGCACGGATCCTTATAATGCCTACCTAGCTGTCCCAAGAACGCAACTTATACGGAAAGTTAGCGTACACATCAAGGTACCCTGTGATGCAAATTTTGAACTTATTTTATTTTGTCCGCGGAAAATAATTTAATTTGAATGTTCAAATTAAGTCAAATTTTGACTTCATAGTGCGCCAATAAAAACACTTGTAGAATTTGAACCACTCAATATAATTTGATAAAAATTGGTACAAATGTAGCCAATAGTCACACCAAACTTTGGACAAATTTTCAGCCTGATTGGATGACTCGTGTAGGATTTATTGCAGTTTTAGTTGAAGTTTTGTTAGTTTTTTGCTACATATACCTCAAAGCGTTACCAATTACTTTGAAATTGAAGCCTTTGTTTTGTCAACAATAAGCATGTAGCACGTTTTATTAATTTTAAAGATCGTTTTACTCATGCCAGACCTTATTATTTAACATAAATATTCTTAATATTTACAAAGCAAATATATTTAACGTTCTTTGTTTTATGTTTAAACGCAAAATTAATGCATGTCCTGTTTCTTTTCATAATTTATATTCAATAAAAGAAAAAAATAAATATATATTAAGAAATAATAAACATATCCAACAACCGATTTTTCAATCAGATATAGGTAAATCTTGCATTCAATACCGTGGAGCCTTTTTATGGAACAAAATAGTTTTAAAACATTTTTGATTTTTCAGATAATAGGAATTATTTTTCTTTTAAAAGAAAACTAAAAGAAGTAATTTTTTCAATTGATAAAATATTTTTATATTTTTTAATTATTACCTATTCTAAAAAATAATTAAGGAGTTATAATCTGAATGACAATATTTTTTAGATTACATATTTAGTTGAAGGAAAATCTATATTCATACCAATCAGAGTTATATTCACATCTGTTTGCACCTCCAAAAAACTTTCAAGCATATTAATAGTGCTGCTTCATCTTGTACTTGAATCATAAATAAAAGCTTTTTCTTTTCCAAACTTTTCAATTATATTTGGTTGTTTATCATCATTGTTCACTAGTGATCTACTAAATTTTTTAACCAATT